TAAGAATGGTCTAAAGCTGCCCTGTCCAATATGGTGGCCACTAGCCACATGTGGTTATGTAAATTTACTTTTTTTTCCTCAGTCCTCCTAGTGAATCATTGAAGTATATAAATTTAAATAAAAAATATTCAGCTCTTCAGCTGCACTGCCGACATTGCAAATGCTCAATAGTCACATGTGGCTAGTAGTAATTACTAAGTTGTACTGTGAAGATATAGAGTATTTCCTCCATTGAAGAAGTTCTATTGGACAACGTTGGTCTACATTATAAATCTCTTTAAAATTCAGCCCTGGAAACACAGTAGACACTTAATTCTTCCTAAGATGTTGCTTCCATCTATAATAGTGTGTTCCTCAGGGATAGCAATATATTTGCATTTCAGTAGAATAAGTCATTACTACCTGAAATGCATGTGATATTTGACCAATATCGCATAAAATCCCTGCTTATTCATATTTACTTTTGCAAATATTTGTGTGTAACTAATATAAATAAAAACTGAATATTAAAATTATTTATTTTAGCTCATGAAGTAATCTAATAATCCAATTATATATATATATATATTTTTTTTTGGCTACTCAAAGGGAAATACGGTGAAGAAATAAAAGTTGAAATAGTTCATCTCTACCAGTTTGGGATTTTAAAAAAGAAAGGTAAGTTTTGAAAAAATGTATCTCTCTTTATGAAATGTAAGACATTAAAAGTATCACATATGAACCATAACATTTATGAATTCATCCCCTTGCTTTTCTTAAATGTAACTATAAAAATGTGAACTTTGAAATTCAGTCTTCTCAAATGAAACATTAAGTTGCCTCAATAATAAGAATGGCTCACACACTCAAGTGTTTACATATTCTAGTTGCACGACACAGAATTTAAGCTGTATTCACAGGGGAGTCATAGGATGGTAAAACTAGGCTAGGACTAGAGATTACAGCACTAGAAAGAAGGAAACAATATTTAATTTTGATGTGAAGTAGACTGACTAACAGCTCACTAAATAAATAACATTTAACCACAGCCACTTTTATAGAAATTAGTTTTATCTGTTCTTTATACTTTCCTTTCCAGTATTGTGCAGGACACAGAGGAGTTTGAACTGTTGAAAGCAAAATGCTATTCACAGTCCCCACCCAGGGTGTGGGAGTACTATTCATATTATACCCACAGTACTGTTTCCAAGTCAATCTCTCATAATCAGGAATCTACTGCCAACCCACAGAGCAATGGATGGGGTGTGTGTGGTAATTACATCACAAGAAAGAGAGACAGAGATATTTGTCAGATACTCCTATTAGAAAACAGACAACTTCTCAGATCTTAAGATGAAATAGAAAGAAGTAGAAAAGAAAATACTGGGAATAAGGAAGAAAGGAAGAGAGAAAAATAGGATAGTCCTATGCCGATGTGAAAAAAAAAAAAGCAAATTTAAAAGAATAAAGCAAAAAAAGAATGACGTTCAATTTTAAAGCGAGTTTCCACAAAGGAAACATAAGTTATGTTTCTTCCTGCCCCTTCCCTACTGCATCTTTTTTTTTTTTTTTTTTGAGACAAAGTCTCACTCTGTTGCCCAGGCTAGAGTGAGTGCCGTAGCGTTAGCCTAGCTCACAGCAACCTCAAACTCCTGGGCTCAAGCGATCCTCCTGCCTCAGCCTCCCGAGTAGCTGGGACTACAGGCATGCGCCACCATGCCTGGCTAATTTTTTCTATATATTTTTTGTTGTCTGATTAATTTCTTTCTATTTTTAGTAGAGACGGGGTCTCGCTCTTGCTCAGGCTGGTTTCGAACCCCTGAGCTCAAACAATCCGCCCGCCTCGGCCTCCCAGAGTGCTAGGATTACAGGCGTGAGCCACCGCGCCCGGCCCCTACTACATCTTTAAAAAAAGATTTAGAAGTAACATGTAGTAGGAATTCTTAGACTAAACCTCTGAAAATCCATAATGGAAATCTACAATCTCCAAAATGATGGTAACCCTATCATTAACCAGTTATGTGATCTCGGTTAATTATTAAATCTGTGTAAGTCCAAGAATATATTTAGATAACATGTACTCTAAGACCTCTTGTAATTTTGAAATTACTGAAACCCATTAGCAACTGACAAGTTTAAAGATCACAAAAAATCATACTGAACATTTATTTTTAAAAGTTTTAAAATACAAATATTTAAAAAGGAAATGTATACAATAAAATGTGTATTAATGACATTGACTGTTCTGCTTGATTTATCACATACACACAAAACGAGGATCCATGGAGCCTACTTTTCATGAGAATTAAATGAGATAAATGGGATTTATATGGTTTTCTACTCTTTTTTCTTCTTTGCATACTAGTTAAATCTTCATATTACCAATCTGCACTTTTGTTTGCACAGCTAACATAAATTACCTCACCTTTAGAAAAAGACAGCACAGAATAAAACCAACAAGTTACTCAATTAAATAACTAATAAGAATTATTGCTTTTGAATTCTAAATCTCAAACATTTCTTTCAAATAATGTTTCTAGTCTAAAGCAAACATAATTATTGCTACTTGCAGGTTACTATATAATAATGGAGATTTATTTAAGGTGGTGTATTTCCATAATAAACCAACATTTTCAGGGTTTGTTTAACTTGGTTGTAAAATATCCTCTGGGGGGAAAAATGGGTAGGTTTTTTGTGAGAACAAATGCTTCTGAAAATTCTTCAAAAGCTAAGAAAAATTTCAGGATAGAAACAATTCAAAGCATATCATATTTTATTTTTAAAAAGAAAGCTTTTCCTTTGCTTCTATATCCTATAACAAATCTAAAGTTTCTAAATCTGAAAATAATGACATACTAAGTAGTTACCTTTTGAACAAATAAAATTCTACAAGGATTAGGTATCATCTTTGCAGATATAAAGCATATTTGGAAACAAGTTGGTCTATTTCAGTTTCCTTAACACTTACACACATGTGCAAACACATTACCCGAGAAGATAATAGGATCATATGCTACAATAGTCTAATATATTTTGTTATAGGTAATAAAAAGAAATCACCTATTCAAAAATATATTAAAGACTATTATAGCATAATTTAACATATTAAATATTTTTCATTAATATTTGATATCTTTCCTGTTTAATTCTCAAACCAGGGATCAAGTGTAAAAAAAAAAAATTTCCTCAAAATTCATTAATCCACACTACTATTAATTTACCAAATATTAAGAAAAATAATCTTTTGAAACTAGATCACATAAGAATTATAATTTTATTTTTAATATTCACATTTTTAAAAAGATATTACTCAACCTTTTAAATGTTAGAAATAGTCATCTAGATTGGTATGTATCTTCACTATTTATATTCTGAAACTATAATGGTTTTATCTGTTTAAATCATTGAGGACTGTTTTTCCCCTCACGATGAACAAAATTTCTTTAAATAAATGCCTCCACGAGGGCACATTCATAAGAAGTCCAGACTAAATTATTGCTGATATACTAGCTGTTGCGCAACACTAAGAAGGCATAAAAGGGAAAACTTTTTTTTTGTAAGCTGTAGGAACTGCCCATTCTTTGCTGTCACAACTCCAAAAGTTAAATATTGAAATTATGCATAAAACAAATTTCTAAATTTTTATTTCCTGTCTTTGAAAGTTTTCAGATCAAGATTATATATAACCATCACATAGAGTTGGCTAATTTTTTTCCAAAAAATGCATGTTATACAAAAACCTATGATATCAATTAGGTATTCAATAATTTCCTCCATAATTTCGAATTCTTCACTAATTTGCAATTGCTGAATTGAAAAAAAAAACTGCAAAGCTTCTTTTACTAGAAGTAAAGTCCAACTTGGAAAGTATGTTCAGCTTCAGAACTATGCTAAAAACTTCAGTAACAGAGCAACAGACTTTTAGAAGAATACTTTAAAAATATAGTGGAACAATGACCTTAAAGATGAATATGACCCTTAATTATGTCACTCTTCTCTTTGAACTAGAAAGCACCTGAAAGTTCCCTTTAATCAGCTATGTCCTCAGATTTGTCTAGGAGTCAAGGGCAGTTATAAAATTTTAATCTTAAAAAATGTACAGGATTAGATTGATAATTCACTCCTATTTGTTTTCTCTTGCAACTATTTATACTAAACATAGCCTCTATATGTCTAGAACATAATTTTATTTCATTCAGTATACTGAATTTTATGTGTGAATCAGGTACTTTTGAAACAGAGCTTTGCCCTGGAACAATAAGTATAACATTATTATAAAGTTATTTTTATACTGCTCACACTAATAATATGAATCGTTTTACATTCATTACATAATTAATCTGTTTTTGGCAAGCCCATTTTACAGATGGGTAACTTACACTTGGAGAGATGAAGACCAAGTAAAGATCACATAGCTACTAAACGGAGTAACTAATTCAAACCTAGGTTGTCTACTCTACAGCTATGAACCTAACAGTACCATGACTTTAAAAATATAGATTCAAAACTTTATTCCAGATTAAGCAAATCATAATCTCTTAGAGTTGTGCCCTACAATTTGTTTACTGAAGCTGGTGGTTGGGAAAGGATCTCACCCTCACCGTACTATCCTGCCTCCCGATTGCTGATTTCGATGAACTGCTTATTTTCACGAACCACTCATATACTGAAGGCTCCCATGAGATAGTACATGATAGATGGTGCTGTGGAGAACTAAAAAGTAGTAGAAAACATGCCTCTTGCCCTTGAGAAGCTTACGATCTAAAAATATACCACCCAAATATTGAGAGACTATAAAGTGGTTGGACCAGGCATGTTTACGAGGGATAACTTTGTGGAAGCAGAGTACTCTGACTAGGGTTTTGGTGGAAGGAGAACAGAAATAAGAGATTGATTTGGGTTCAAAGGTTTGGCAGTGAAGATAAGACTTGTGGAATGATTTAACAACCCTTTTTTATTTCAAAACACAAGTTTAAATATTTCAATTCAATTCTCTCTCAGACACACACAAAATTACTGACCTTCTACATTCATGGCTTCTCTCAGAACCTGAAGTTTCTTTTGTCTCTCTCGGATTCGGTCCAAAGCACTTGATATTGCTGTGGATGTGGGCAATTCTCGAGTGTGATATACTGGATCCATTTTCTGAGGGCCAAAGATATCCAAGGCTATACTTCCATCTGAGTATCTTGCCTCCTTTTTTCTAGGAGTAGTTGAAGTCCGCACTGTAACTGCCTCAGGGTGACAGTGGTGGGACGTGCCAGTCTCTCCAGAAGAGAAGTCTCTGTCAGCTGTACAAAGCAAGTCCATGGATGAAGCCCAGATTTTCTTCTTAGGAAGCACATCAATGCCAGGGATAACTTTTTTTTCTGGGCCACTAGTTTTGAACCGGTAAGGGGAGCACGTATTTTCGGACTCTTCATGCCCAGAATTGTTATCTGATAAAATGTCCTTGAAACAATCTTCCTCATCTTGTGTGTCTCTGATAGACAGAAATCCCATAGATTTACTAAGCCCTTTGTTAAGAAAGGTCTGATGAGAGAATGGAGACTTGTGTATGTCTAGTACATCAGAAGAAGAGCTTCTTCCTGGAATGATAAGAATCTAACATGTATGCACAGAATTTTTAACATGTATGCACAGAATTGGAATGTAACCCATTATTGACAATAAAAGTGGCGGTAATTTCCTAAATTCTCCAAATTAGAGATGAAATGGGATAGTGGTGATGGTGATAGCAGAAGATGAAAGAGATGCTATGTTTGCATAACTTTTCAAAGTCCAATGTCTCATAATAAAATCACTAATATATTGAACTTGTTTTTGAGTGATATTATTTTATATTCATCAAAAGTAAATTATTTGATCTAAAAAATAGACAAAAGTTTTTCATACTATTTAGTTTGGTAGAATGTTAATTATTCAAGAAATTATTTGGGGCAATAAAAGAATGTATAATGAACTATTTTAACTTCTAAAGGTATAACTCAAACATATATCAGTATAAAGCCCTGGTATATTCTGGTCTTTTAAGTCAATATGTTTAAAGAAAAAACGAAGAATTCTTGCTATATTCTGGATGGAAATAAGATTGTAGCATTTGGAATTCTTCAGTATCAAAGTTTTATTACAATTAGATGTTTTTGGAAAATTTTATTGTGTTTGAAATGCAGATGATTTGATTGTGTTTAAGTTGTGCCAGAAACTTAATTTTTTCATGGCAGACCATCATGTACTAAAACAGTTTTTTCCTCTAGAGCACACTGCATCAGTATTTGTGGATTGTAATAAAGTAGAATGGCTTATTGGTTTTAACTACATCAAGGACTAAAGAATAAGTAAGAATTAGTGTATCAGTACATGCTGATTATTTACATTCTCAAGATATCTTGCTTTATGTGATTATTTCCATCCATTTGTCATCACCCTATTTCCAATTAATACTATTGCTTGACTAGATCATTGCAGTGGCCTCCAGATAGGCCTCCCTGTTTCTTCTACTATCCTCATCCAACAATTCTCTAATTAGCACCCAGAATATCTTTTTAAAATGTAAATTCCAAGATGTCGCTATGCTGCTTACTAAGTCTTAAGGGCATACTATTATACATTCAGTGAAATCTGAACTCTTTTTGAGTCTGCCACTGGAATCTTTTTTAGTCTCATCTCTACTTCCCTCATTCTACCCAGGCCATGGGTTTTTTCTCTGCTAAGTTCTCTTATACATTAGGGACTTTGTACATAATTTTCCTCTGCCCTGAATGCTCTACTCTAGATATTTCTTATGAATAGTTACTTCTCATCCTATAGCTTTATTTTAAATATGATTTCCTCAAAGAAGTCTACCCTGACATAATTGTACTATAAATAAATCACTTTCCAAATGTATCACGAGTCTATTCCATTTTCTAACAGGTAAATTTATCACTGTCTTTTAGGTCATTAGTATTTACTTGCAATATACAAATGGGCCACATTATCTTAAGAGAGCTATGTCTTCTCACTAGCCATATGAGGCCTAAAAATAACTGCTAATAAAGTGGCTCTTGGATAGCTACTACTTTACAGATGCTGGGTTTTTATTGTCTTAATGCAAATTAATTGGATATCAAAATATTTCAGTCTATGTTTATTAAAAATCCAGGAAGTTATTTTAAATTCTATAAGGCAGACCCAAATTAAATGACAGTACTTCATGTAAAAGTTTTCACTAATATTCTACTGTTCCTAAAAAACATATCAATTTAAGTATGGCTCATCATCTACAAAAATGTGGATATAATTTATTATGCCTTCTTATAGATGACAGGATAAATGAGCTAACACATATGAACCAGAGCTCTTCTGAACAAGGGCAATATAAAATTCTAAATTTTGCCTCCCTTTTCTATTTCTGCTTTATTTTCCTAAGCACATAATTTTCTACTGAGGGGGGATTTAAATATTCTTTTGAAAGGAAATAATAAAACCAGAGGTCAGAAGATCTCCCATAAAAGTTTTATATTATTCTGTAATAAAAAGCATCACATTATTCAAAATAGGGTGAGTAGTGACTATAAGTGGATTTTCCAGCTTTTGGAAGAGGCTCTGAGTTCAGAGAAAGTTTTCAGACAACATTAGATTACATACAATTATAACCATCCAGATTTAAAATGAATCCCTAAACATTCCCTTTTAGAGAATGCATAGCTGGCTAAAAAACTAAATGAGGAATAATAAATATACTTTATTTATAAATAAAAGATTTTGGTTTTGTATCCCATGGATAAAATTTCAAGAACATAAAAAGTCTTTATAGTAGAACACATTCCATTTATTTTAGTTAAATTGAAAAAAAAAATCTTCCTTCAAGAGCACATTGTATTTTAACTATTTTTGTTATAAGTGATCAACATTATCCTAAGTTGGATATCATGATTCCACTTGCCCCTTACACATAGACTCAAAAATTCACAGCATCTCTTGAAAATTCACATCAAAATGACATTTCAATATTAAAAGAGGCTCCCCGATTTCCCATCTGTCCTCACAGATGTGTTCAAATACCAAAAAAAAAACAAAAGAAAAGAAAAGAAAAAAACATGATATTATCAATACACCTAAGTTCTGAAGCACCATCATGCTGATCTGATAATGGTGTAAGTTTCCATCTTAAGCTTGGCAGGAAATGTTTGACTTCTTTTTGCTCAGAGAAGCCATTTTATCAGCATCGGTAGTATTAAGTAACGAAGTGGGGGCAGACAGCCCACCAGTTTAGGCCTTAGCTTCTGTGATAGATCTCAGAGGTAAGACATAAGAAGAGATCTTTTAAGGTCATTTACTCATAGATGAAAGATTTTACTAAGTTTTAGTAGAGCAATTAAATCATTAGATTTAAGGCATTATCCCTAAATTTGCTTACTTCTTTTCATCTAATTCTCTATGTCACTGCCTATCTTGCTTGACATATTCTTTATTGATGACTGTGGTCAGGAGCCTAATAAACTAGTGTTATCACTAGGTAAAGCTTTTAGGTTGGTATACATTGAAGAGAATGTTTTACTACTCATGTAGTCTCACAAGGTTGCTTTGCTTCAAGTGACCGCTGACAGTTAAGAACTGGCATTGTCCAAGTGTCCTAGAAGAATATTTCTTCTTTAGGAAGAAGTTATCTTCAAGAAAATTATCTTCAAGAGATAATTTTTTTCTCAATCTTAAACTATTGAAATTAGTGTATCCCACTGACTATAGCTGCTAATTACTTTTAACTGGTAATGGATGTAATTAATATATTTGATTCTGTCTTGGAGGCTTTATAAATTTGTAAAAAGTAAATTAAAAGAGCACCTGTATAATACTATTGTGGAAAGCAATGGCTAAGAAGGTCTGAAGAATCCTCTTCCATTATACTTGATTCAAACAAGACTATTATTTAAGTATAAGAACTTCTAATTCTATCCCAAAATATGAACATAGACAACATTTGATTTATCCTGAGTGACTAACTGTAATTCCTTACAAATTCTCTTGAGTTTAGATACAGGGGAGATTTTGTTCTCCAATAAAGATTTTATTCTCCAATATGACTATTATAGAATAAAATCAATGGACAGACTATTTAAGAATGTGATTTCTCTTGTTAATTTTGTAAAGTCATGACAGTCGATGCTTCATTATCTGAATTAGGACAGTCTATTAATCATAAGACTTCTAAAGCGCTATTAGACAATAATACTAAATCTTACTTAGTATTATGAAAAGAAAAATCACAAATAAAAGCCATGAAAATTTGGTTTAAAACTTCTGATGACTTTATTGTTACAATAAGGAAATGGTCTAATAACATGAGCTCAAGGTGGTAAACTACAGATTACTTTTCTCTTTATTTTGCAAACAACTTAATGTTTAAAATAGATCAAATAAATAAGTCATAGAGTCTCACATATATTTTGTGAGACTATTAAAGAATTATATTATAAATACATTTCAAAATCTAATATTTTTATAAAACCTTTTTCATGCTCATTCAATCATCAAATTTCATTGACACCTACAAAAATTAATGTACTTAATATAAGTTTTTCCTATCCTTAGCATCTATATGTCCAGAAAGCTTCACTTTTATAAATGTCTTTTATTAAAAAATATATATGTATAAATGTAAATGACAAGTAAATAACCTGCTATTTAAGGTCTGTTATAGAGTCGGTATAGATTCAATTCAATCTCTAATTGCTATATCTAAAATACTATGTAAAAATTAATGTCTGAAACACTAAGACTCTGAATCATTGAAAGTAATATAAATTACATTAACATTTGCCATTATTTAAAATTTGATAAACTAAATATAGCAGGGGTAATCTTTTTTCTTTCTATAGACCCATAATGGATACGGGAAATGGGGGTCTCATATATGTATATAAATATGTTTTATTCTTAAAAAAATAAAAATTATTAATAATATAACATTATATTTACTAAATCCAGAAGTAACAAATACTCAAACAAACTGTAATTCCATAACACAGCCACTTAATTGTAGAAGGAAATGATAGTAGGAAACCCCAGAAAGAGATTAGACAAAGAACAGGAAAGAAAAATAAGGAAGGAGGGAGGAAGGGAGGAAAAGAAGGAGGGAGGGAGGTGTGGGGAAGAAAGGAGGGGGAGGGACAAAATAGAGCATAAATAAGAGAAATGATAATATCTTTTAAATCTAATGTTTCACTTATTAAAGTGTTCATTACGTCTCCTTGAAAAAGAGTCTTTTAGCTCACTATTGACATTCATCTATAATTTTCCATTATTATTTAGTTCTAAAACAGGAGACTAACTGAACATATTTGATGGAATAACAAATTGCTACTCTTGTTAGCACCAAGGTTCACACTATATCCTATCTCAAATCCTAGTATAGTATAAAAGGAAACCGATTTTTATCTATAAGAAGAAAGTGGGTCTCTATATATGGGAACATAAGTATAGTAAGGAAACATTTGCCAGAAAGGATTAAAAACACTTTCTTAAATTGCCGTCAAAGCATTGTAAAAAGTTAATAAGCAAGTCCATCTTGTGTGTTTATTTTTACCCACATATAAACTAGTAATACATGTATTAGAAAAGACACTTGATCTAGCCAGAAATAAATTTATTATATCGATGATATGAAAGTCAAAATAACTTCTCAGAAAAATAGTCCTTAATTGCAATAAGTAAAATGGAAGCACCTAATTGCGCCATTATAGAATCACTCCGTTAGAAACAATTTTACTGCTTTTCTTTGGCTTCTCAAGATAAGCAGTACACTTGCTTAGGACACATTCTTTCCTGTCAGATATGAGAGTTCTGAATTCTATAAAATATTTGGTTCAGATGATCAAGGGCCTATATTTAGTTTTCACAATGAGAGTTTCCCACAGGTTTTAAATAACACAGCTGTGCTCTGGTTGTCTGATTAAATTAAAAAATTACACATCTTAGCTTTTTAATCTATTTTATTAGACCACATGGAGTAGAATATAGACTATATTTAAGCAACCTTTACAATTAACTCTCCCTAGCCCCAAAATCTAAAATAAAATAGTTCACCCACAAAATATTTTTGTTAATGTTTAGATGACCATGATTCTCAATATTGCTTGATGAGAAGAGAATAAAGATAATCAGCAAAATCAAAAGTTTATTTTATAAATAAGCCAAGCCTAAACTTAACACTGAAAAGTAAATTGTCATATAAAATTTATTTAAATACTTTTATTTCAAGTGTTTGGAATTCCCATTCATTTCTTTAAAAAAATCAATTTAATAATTATCATAGGACCCATAATTATATAATGCTATTGGCAAATACCAAAACCACTATTCATCATTAATTTTATTTACTAAGCATCATATAACCTAAGGTAGTATTTAATAACTCCAATTCATGAAATTAGTCAGTCATGAAATTAATTATGTAGGTTATGACTAGCATTAAGAAATAGAATAGGCCGGGCGCGGTGGCTCACGCCTGTAATCCTAGCACTCTGGGAGGCCGAGGCGGGCGGATTGTTTGAGCTCAGGAGTTCGAAACCAGACTGAGCAAGAGCGAGACCCCGTCTCTACTAAAAATACAAAGAAATTAATCGGACAACTAAAAATACATAGAAAAAATTAGCCAGGCATGGTGGCACATGCCTGTAGTCCCAGCTACTTGGGAGGCTGAGGCAGAAGGATCGCTTGAGCCCAGGAGTTTGAGGTTACTGTGAGCTAGGATGACGCCATGGCATTCTAGTCCAGGCAACACAGTGAGACTCTGTCTCAAAAAAAAAAAGAAATAGAAGAGAAAATATCAGAGTGTAGTAAGAATAATGTTGTTTTCTGAAACTTTTATTTCAGTTGTGTTTATGTTCATAAACATATATATGTGTTTATTTGGTCATACTTGAAAATGTATTTTTAATATAAAATATTGTGAGATAAAATAAACAAATGATGATATTATTGATATAACAATACTGGAAAGGGAAATGATTTACTGTGCTATTAAAAACACTTTCTGCATAACCTTAATGACATTATTTATGTAGCTAGTTTTCCTGTCTGTTCCCTGCCTCCACTTTGCATACTCATGTTCTAATCATAGTCACAATTATCAGATTTCCAAGCTAGTTAAGTATAATTTTGCAAAGGAAACATGGAATAAGATTAAAGCCTAAAAATTTCCTATTAATATACTCTTACCTGTTGGTAATCCTTTTCCTCTCAGTCGGTCTCGAATAGCCTGGCTTCGATCAGGCCTTTGTTCACTGTTACCGGAAAGTTGATCCGTCTGTACACAGGTAATCAAAAATCAAGTTTGACAAAGAATCTCCCTTTTGTTTTCATGGTAATTCTCTACAGAATGACACTAGTTAGACAGTTTTTGGAGGATATAACATTAAGAGACTCTATGTCCTATCGTTGTATATAATAATTTGTATTTCTTAGATAGGGTTTATGTAGCTCAATACTGGCCAATTCATTTTCAGGAAATCCAAGGAAAGAAACAGTTACCAAAGAGTAATCTGCTAACTAGGGAACACAGTCAGGCAGATTAAAGTAGTTAAAATGAGTTCCATTTGAAAACACTTAAACTTGAAGTGTTTTTCCCCCCAAACTGATAACTACTGTCATCTCTCAAGTTAAATTATAATTTAAAAACCACATTAATTCTAGTATAATAAAGATTCCTCCTCACTATGTGCATTGAGGAATTTAAATTATTTTCAGAAATAAATTTCTAGGTATTGCCTGCCAGAAATTACATTTGAGAAATGCTAAGTCTTTAAATGTACACCTTGCGGGATGACAATTAAATTTAAATCAATGCTCTTTTGAGTCCCTTTTATAACAAAATGTTTAAGTAGTCTTAAACTATAATAACTTTAACCAAGGGTATTTGTTTAAAATAAAGTATGTCAGGGCCGGGCGCGGTGGCTCAGGCCTGTAATCCTAGCACTCTGGGAGGCCGAGGCGGGCGGATTGTTTGAGCTCAGGAGTTCGAAACCAGCCTGAGCAAGAGCGAGACCCCGTCTCTACTAAAAAAAAGAAATTAATCGGACAACAAAAATATATAGAAAAAATTAGCCGGGCATGGTGGTGCATGCCTGTAGTCCCAGCTACTCGGGAGGCTGAGGCAGAAGGATTGCTTGAGCCCAGGAGTTTCAGGTTGCTGTGAGCTAGGATGACGCCACGGAACTCATTCTAGCCTCGGCAAAAAGAGTGAGACTCTGTCTCAAAAAAAAAAAAAGTATGTCAAATTAGGGGTCAAATTCCACATTAAAAGGGACAAAAAGTTTGACAGAACATTGGTTTATTTAGATGACCAGTTAGAGGAGAAGTGATATAAATATAAATGGAAGTAGATATAAATGAAAGGAGACAGAATGGTGAAGAGAAATTACTTAAATCTGGCACCAAAAGCATGTATACATGTTTGTTTATTTATATACACACACAAATGTTTTTAAATATTATGTGTTATTTAATGTTATTTAAATAACATAAAGTGTGTAAAAGCACTTAAGGCAGCACCTGGCATATAGTAACTGTTCAATAAACTACACCTATTATTAATAATATCTTTAATGCAGGGAATTCCAAAGATGCAGGATGTTCACTATCTTTTTTAGTCACCGATAGTATAGTGTAATCTGGCCCAATAACATTTTTATAATTTAAATGATAACATTATTTCAGAAATACTTCCATTTAAGTCTTCTTAGAGGTAGAAAACATAATGCTTGAGCTTTAAATATACTATCTTAGGATTTTAATCAATCATACTCAGTTTCACTAATGAAGGAATATTAAAAATATTTGTGTGTGTATATAAATAAACAAACATGTATACATGCTTTCAATGCCAGATTTAAGTAATTTCTCTTCACCATTCTGTCTCCTTTCATTTATATCTCCTTCCATGTTATTTAATCCTCAAAACAACCTTATATGGAAGATATTATCATCCTCAGACCACAGATAAAAGGAGAAATGGCAAAGAAACATCTAAGGACCATAAACCAGCTCATCAATACTGAAATAAATATCCTCACAACTGTTCAGTAATATGGGTGGGTGGCATGTACTATTCTTCCTATTTTATAGATAAGTAAAATTGAGGTCAAAATACTATAACATTAAATCGGCAGAAGAACAAGGACAAATAAGCTGGCCTGCTGACTTTTACTCCACACAAATTAATTTTTAGTAAGAATTATGGTCACTTAGAATGACTTTCATACTTACTGAAAGACTAACTCAGTTTATCAGCTACTGGAGGCAAGAACAGCTTTAAAGGAGCATAATGGCTGAAAGCATGGGCTTTGGGGTCAGATACCCAGACTCTGATTATGTCTCTGTTATTTACCACATATGTAGCCATGTGCAGGTTATTTGCTCTTTCTTGGCTTTAGTTCATCATCTCTAAAATGCTGATAAAAAGCATCTATTTCTTTTAACTTGGGGTTGTTATAATGAATAAATGTGATAATGCACATAAAACACCTAGCACAGTGCCTGGCACAAAGCAAACACCTAAAAAACAGTAGCTGTTGGAGTTACTTCTGTCCAGTGACATCCAGGAGACTAGGAAGAGCAATGGAAAGATAGGGGGGACATTATGACACGTAGTAAAAATTTGCCTTTGTAAAGGCAGGCTCCCAACACGCTGATTCCAATTGATCCTTCTACTCTTCTCGTTCACTGAATAACCCCCCAACACCCTGTATCAGACTGATTACTGTTCCCTGAACGTGCCCTGCTCTTTCCCATTCCACAGCATTTTTACAGGTTCACTTCTGTCTGCCAAGATTACTCTGAGCCTACAGGATTTAGTTCAAAGTACTATTTTTCAAAGCAGTCTTAAATCTTTTCCCTCAAACTCTCACAGCTTTTAAAATTTTTACCATGTTACTCTTCATAGTCTTCTTTGCATTTCATAATTAAGCAAATGGTTATAGGATTTTAGATAAGAGCTCCTAGATCAAATGTTTTATTCAAATTTGTATCTTCTACAGTCTTTTTTTTTCTTTATAAAAAACACCTTCATTTTGCTCAAAAGGGCAGTCAATACAGAGAAGCCAAAGTGAACAGCCTCCACAAAACAAAATTAACATCAGCAGCAAATCCTCTTGCTGAAGACTTCAGAGACAACTTACGTGTGCCAAAGTTCTCCGCTGTTATAAGGGGCACACACCCATGCATCGTCCATCGCCCATTGGTTTCATACACAGATAAGCAATAAATATCTATTGTAATAAACTGAACTAAATGCTAAACCTTAAAGGGATGGAAATTTTTTTTATGTAATCTGGGAAATTATTGGATAGATAATAGAATTTCTATGGAGGAATATTTCTTCATGGCAAGACAAAAACAAACAAACAAACAAAAACACTTCTAGCAATTTTACCATGAGAGTAAAATCACCAAACAGCACAAAGGTCTTAGAGAAGGTATGGTGTAATAGAAAAGTCCCTGGATTGACTAATAGGAAACTAAAATTCCATAACTGTTCAGGTCTCCATTTCCTCATCTATAAAGTGAAATTTTATGGAATATTAGTGCTATAAGAAGATCTGTGAAAAAGACCTCCAATACCAAATAAGTTTGGGAAATGTTTCATCTATGTGCCTATATCCCTCTTGAAGGTTAGTAATACAGTCTAGTACATTAAAGGCTCTGAGAAGTTCTGCAGTGAAAATACATTATTCAATTTCCTTTAAATAGTTTTTTCTCAAGCCTATTTGATCATAGAGGAATTTTTTTAAACAAAAATATATTGAAAACAATGTGAGAAACCATGGTCTGAACAGAGAGCTTTCATAGAGTTTTAATAGCTTTATCTTTATTCAAAAAGAAATTACATGCAGAACTATAAACAAATCAAATAAAACTGGACCGCTCTGGTTAAAGAGGGGAAGTAGGCAACCAAGAACCCTGTTTATTCAGCCTCTACTACCTCTATTCCCCTTCACTACAGAACCACAAAGATTTCATGGAGGACAGTTTACAAACCATTTGTCTAGAAGATCTCTGGGCCTGTTTCTTATAAACTGGCAAAGCATGTGGAATTTGGATAGATTCCTGGCAGCCATCCAACATCCTGGTTAAGACAGGGGAACTAAACCCTTAGCGGTGAGGAATTGAGAGGAAGCCAGCAAGAACACTGTGTGACAGTGGCAAATTTGTAGCCCACGCAAAAAGAATCACTACTCAGAGATCATAATCCTAGAGAGTAAGAGCAGATAAAGTGTAGATCCAGATCAGAGATCAGAAAACCAAGGAGTATCCAAACTGGGGCAAACAGGATAGAATATAGTTTAAGAAATGCACAGCATGGGTAGGACTGTCAGATATAGCATTTGTTTGTTATTCTTGAGTTTGATATATTCTTCATATCCAAGACAAGAAAGAAAATGGAAGAGTCCAGGTCTTGGGGTGATCTGGTAGGGATACATGCACGGATCCTCTCTACACACCAGGTACAAGTGTCCAGAGAAGGTGGGATGGTAGGGAAGGTTTGGAGAATACCTAGGAGATCTGGACAAATGAGTGGCCAAGGAGGAGGTATAATGCAACAGAAAATGAATTGTAGTATTTCTAAAGCCCATTTTGCATGTTAATGCATTTCTCTAAGTGTTCATAACAGATAGAACCACTTGCTAAAAGCTTAGATCTTAGGAAAAGATCTAAGAAAGGAGGCAGAATGGACATTTCTAGCTCAAACATGCTATGATTCTATGATATTTTGGGGAATAAAGTTCTAAAGGAAGACTAACTCTCATGAAATCTAGAAGACTTACTGCAATGGGCTTGTAAATTTTAAGTATTGTTTCAAATAATTTACATCAGAACAAAAAATTTAATTTCCCACTTCTAGTTTTAATTGAGAAATGGCTACCTATATAGTATCTTTAAAGAAAATTTTGTGATATGCTACTAAATTTTAAAATATGACTATGTTTACTATTGCAACTGTAGCTTACCCCAGAAAGATTGCCCAGAACCAGTTTTACCAGGTGTTTCACATAGGAAAATGAAGGTGCACAATTGCTATTCCTAATGTGGGCACTGCAAGCATCCAGGACAGTCCGAACAGAAACCCGAGCATAAATAACATCCTCACACATTCCCAGCAGTATGCTGTTGAGATGATCTCCAAGCTTGATAGGCTGAATATGGAGAAAGGAAAAGCCATGTTAAAAAACATGAGTAAATCTTCTTTATAATATGAGACAAACCATTCTAGGAATCACAGGAACCACAATAAACATATTTGGGAGGAAATGAATTCCTTTTCTATTAGCATATATATCTTACTGCATTTTACCTTTTTATGGTCCAAAAAATTATTAGCAGAAGATGGTTAACTTACATGTCCCTAGATAGGAAGTTTTAGAGAAAAACTCTGGGACATTTTTGTTGTTGTTGTTATGATAAAGAAGTGGAACTCTTTGGTTATTCAAATATTTTGATAAACAGTTACTACTGTTTATACAATATTTTAGGGGAATAAACTGTTTCCTAATATTCAATACAATGTGATACATTCAACTTATATAATCTGATACTCCCATGATGACTTAAAGGAGATTTGAAATATTGCAATGACCCGAGATCATTTAAATATAAATTCTCATTATGCTGGTCAGAGAAGCCACAAAGTAAATTTTTTTTTTCATATTTTGTAGAATATTATATCTTAAATGGCCAATAAGCATATGAAAAGGTGGTCAGCATCATTATTCACTAAGAAATGCAAATTAAAACCACTAAAACAAGAAGCCACTACATGCCCAATAAAATGGTTAAAAATAAAAACACTAATAATACAAAGCATTGGTAAGGAGTGGAACACCTGAAACTCACATGATGACGGAAGTTTAAAGTGGTACACCCTCTTTGGTCTAAACAAATGCCTTCCCTATGACTCTTCCACTTCTCATCTGCTTGAGTATTATTTCATCCTTTAGGTGTCAGCTTAGATGCAATGTCCTTTAAGAAACCTGTCCTCACCCTCCAAGTCTACCCAGAAGCTCCAACTCTGTTTTTCCACAGCACTCTCCATTTTTTCTTAACATTCATGGCATCATGTTGTTATTGACTATTTAGCTGTCTGTTCCTTCCAATAGACTCCACAGGTAAGGGTCACTATAGTCCTGAATGTCTAGTATAGTGTCTGACACTAGGTAGACACTTAATATTAAATACTTTAATTATTAAAATAATTAATATTAAATACTTTTAATATTAAATGTTTCTAAAACGATTATGATTTCTGATCATAAAATACAAGTTTATATTTCCTCTCTAATTTATTCATTATTAATACTGATTTTATTTCTGGTTAATAGAAAAGTATAAAGTGTTAATGACAGACTATGATCACATTTTACATGTAAATTAGGTTGCATAATATATGATTTTGATATTTCCAGTAATAATTTAACTTTCTCATTTATATTTATAGAATTAAAACTGAAGTGAGAAAGAAAATCTACAGTATTTTTCATGATGTAAAATGAAACCAAACCAAGTTGAAGAATATCATTTATCTTTGATAGATCTTAAGATATTTGAATTTTAGTTAAAGCCTAGAATGCTTGTTATTTTTTATATTTAATAAGAAAAAACACACCTAGTTATTTTTATTTTTGACTTCTAAAGGTTTAAAATATCATTCTATATATTGTATCTTTGCCTTGACAAAATATAGCTATTTTAAAATTTTTAATTACTGTTTACTACTATGTTTATGTTGGTCTTCAGGAATCAGAACTATTTTAGCAAATAATGACTAGAAATAATCCAATGGTCATCAGAGCCTACGACCTCGGAAAGTATTAATTTAATGTGCCTGTTGTTACAGGGGTAGTGACGTATGATTCTGAAATGCCAACAGAAAAACGTAATTAAGTTCTCTCATACTATACTCTGAAACATACTCAGGCTACTATTCCTAGAGTTTTTGCAAGAAAAAAGGTATTATTTTCAGTGCAAGAATGAATCATCAAAAATATTTACAGTCCCTTTTATCAGTCATTAAATGAAAGGAAATAAAATACACTTCTGTTTTTATGGCCATAATTTCTGATGAGGCCAGCTCCATCTCACAAACTGAATTGTTGAAAGCTGAGTAGTGACTGCTACAATTCTAAGAATATCTCAAAATAATTTCTTCAGTACTTTGTTAGTTCATTCTGAAAGTATGACATTATTAATGTGAACAACCAGCATAGAAATACTGATGTGCCTGACAGCATGCTGTAAAATAGATATAAATATGTGGAAGAGCTTTTTTAAAAAGTGTAAAATTATACAAATGTATAAAATGTGACAAATGTAAAAACTTGACTTACTTGGCTCTGAGGTACTTCATGATCAGCCCCCCAATACAATGTCATTCCAAGAGAATAAATATGGATCTAGGAACAGAATTTTTAAAAAAATAATTTTATGGTAAAATAAAATAAAAAAATTTAGCAAGTATTATAAACTCAGAATTTTTTGTTCCAAAGAAAATATAACACATAATATGAGAAAATCATCATTTTATATTTTGTATAAGAGTATGTGAGAGCTTAAAACAGAAAATAGGAGACTGGAAATTATTAGAATAGACTTTTTTCCAATTCCTCAGCCTTTATGAGTAATCATTTTTTTAAGCTTTTATTTAAAGTTTCTTTATGCAAATTCAAGTCAATATGAATATGTATTATTATTCCTCCTTTTACAAAAGGGCAAAAATTATAAAAATTGCTAGGCACTTTGTATTTTTAATTTATCAACAGAGATATTTCCATATGAATGCTTAGAGATCTTATCCTTTTTTTACCTGCTGCATAAAATTCCATTATATGGTTGTAGTATTGTTTATTTAGCCAATCTGTTATTAATGAGCAATTAAGATTTTTTCAAACTTTAGCTATTATAAATAATGTTTCAGCAAACAGCCTTGTGATGTGTCATTTTGTACATACAAGTATTTCTCTTGAACTGATTCTCTGAGATTATTGATAAAAGTAAATCATCTGTAGTTTTGATACATATTGTCAGATTCCCCTGAGTAGAAATTGTACATTTTGCGCTTCTACCAGCAACATGTATGAGTTTTTCCAACAAGCCTTGTCCATACAATGTGTTACGAAGATTTGGGGTTTTGCCAATCTGAACAGTAAAGAAAAAACCTATTGCAGTTTTGATTAGCATTTTTCTCACTGTGAACAGGCGGCATAGTACAAGAAGCAGCTGAATCAGAGGAGTTTTCTTCCGTGATGTTTGCTTTGTTTGCTTCTTAAAGATTAGGGAAAAAACAACATATTTTTATGCTGGTAGGAATGACCCAACAGGGAAAACTGGAAACACAGGACAGAGTGGAGCCTGCTGGAGGAACATTGTTGAGTAGGCAGGAGGAGATGGAAGGTAATGCATAAATGGAGGGGTTGGTTTTACAGAAGAGCACAGACAGTTAATGTGTGGTAAGGAGGCAGAGAACATGGGGTAATTTATGTGGGTAAGTTGGTAGAGGGATCCTGGGAAAAGTCTCTCCTGATTGCTTCTACTTTTTTTTCTGTGAAACAGGAAGCAAGATTATTAATCATAAGTAATCATCTTGCTTTTTTCCTTCTGTTAAGAGATTCAGAGCTAAACTCTTAGCCCATTTCTATCAGTACTGATTCCTACCACATTTCTTTTTTTTGCACCATCCTTACTCCAGCTTCATCTTATCTGATTGCCTTTATTTCACTCTGCTCCTATTTTTCCACTTTATTTTTAAATTCTATAAACTGTCTCAAGTCCCCTGTAGAAATCAGTGAGTTATATAAATAAAACTGGGTACCCTTTTAATAATCTCACAGCACTTTAATCTACTCTTTAAGTTGTGTCCTAAATTATAAAAGTTTTTCCACTTTCCAATTATTTTCACGGCTTTCAATTTTTAAAATTTAAATTTTTTGTAATGACATTCAAGTCTCACTCTGATCTGCCTCCACTTCCATTTTACAAGGAGATTTTAAAGTTTTCTTTCTGTCATTACTCCTTCCCCTATCATAAGTGAAACACTTCAGCACTACTAGATAGCTTCCTGTTGGCAAAATACATCCTGCCCTTTCTCAGCTTTTTTTGAGCTGTTCTTTCCACCAGTAATATTCTTTCTCCATCTCTGTCAGTGAAAGCTTACCCATTATTGATAACCCAGAGATGATGTTTTCCATTATATATGCCATATAAATACTTTCAAACAGGATAAAACATTCTCTTATACAGTTATATTTCACTTGTATCTCTAATACAGTAGTGAACTAGTATTACCTTGTTATTAATACATTGATGAATCCTTGTTTGTCTTCTTTGAGGGAAAGTGCCTTTTTTTTTTTTTTTACACATCTTAGTATCCCTCTTAGCTACTAACACAGAACTTTTACATAGTAGATATTCAATACGTGTCTGCTGAACTCAATTAAATGTGCATGAAGTTCAAGACAGAATAGTGTAGACTATTAGTATCATATTTCTCTTTAGGCTTCTTTTCAAAGAGGCTTATATGTAACCACTTTTTCAAAGAGCCGCATACATGAAAAACATTTTTCATAGTTTTAGCATAAAGGATGAATCACATTCTCAATCATATTAATTTTGATTTGTGATGTGACCAGTGTTTTAAGATTCTTTATTATATTTACTTTTCAATGTGTCAAATGAGTTACTATATATTAATAATTTTTATATGTGACTATATAAAATTAATAAAATAATTCTTAAAGCTAAGTTATAAAACTGTATGCTTGCTGATCAACTACATATACAGTGTAATGGTTAGTTACATGTATCAACTTGACTGGGACAGATACTTGGTCAAACATTCCAGGTGTTTCTGTGAAGGTGTTTTTGGATGAGATTAACATTTAAATCAGTAGACCGAGTAAAAGAGATTGCCCTCCTAATGCAGATGGGCTCCTTCCAATCAGTTGAAGGCCTGAAAAGAACAAAAAGGCTTACTCGTCCCTGAGTAAAAGAGAATTCTTTCTGCCTATCTTTGAACTGGGACATTAGCTTTTTCCTCCTTTGCACTCAAACTAAAACATTCCAGGATTTCGAGCCTGCCGGTCTTCGAACTAGAATGATATCATCAGTTCTACTGGTTCTCTGGTTTTCAGACTTGGAGTGGAACTACACCATCAGCTCTCCTGAGTCTCCAGCTTGCAAACTTTCCCTGAAGATCTTGGGACTTGTCAGCCTCCATAATCACATGAGCCAGTAGGGATACCCACTCCCACCCTCTCAGTTATGACAAACAAAATTGTCTCCAGACATTGCCAAATATCCTAGGAGGTAAAATTGCCTCTGGCTAAAAACTACTACTTTAATCTGTATAATCTTTCCCAGAATTAGGAGAGATATATGAATGTATATGTATGCATCCATATATTAAACAAAGTAGAAGTGGTAAATTTGTGCTAAGGAAATTCAGGGAGACAAGGAAAGATTACTTTTGGCTATATTAGGTCAACTAAATATGAAATGTCCGATTTCAAATCAAGAGTTTAGTTTATTATATCTCAAACAAGAAGCAGTACAATTAATCAAAGTATGCACCTAAACTAGCGACACAGTTTTAACATCTTGATGGTAGCTTGTTTATGCCACCACGAAGAAGCCTGGAGAGCAAGTGGCAATGAAATCAAGAAAGGCATTTTCCACAGCGTGTTAAGAATTGAATATTTCTCGTTGTAAGAAGTGGTCCAAAGCCTGGAAGAAGTGGGAGTCAGTTGGTGAAAGGTCTGGTGAATACAGTGGATGACAGAGAGTTTCCAAGTGAAGCCTCTGTAGTTAGAGCAGCATTGTTTGTGCAACATGTGGTCAAGCACTGTCTTGCAAGAGGATTGACCTGTCTCTATTGACCAATCTCAGCTGCTTAATCACAAGCATCCTCATCATTTCGTCCATTTGGTTGTAGCAGACATTCACTGTAATTGATTGAGCAGGTTTCATGAAGCTGTAGTGGATAATACCAGTGCTGGACCACCAAACAGACACCATTAGCTTTTTTGGATGAATATTCGGTTTTGGACTGTGTTTCAGTACTTCATCTTTATCCAACCATTGTGCCAAACACTTGTGATTGTCAAAAAGAATCTATTTTTCATCACACGTAATAATACAGTGTAGAAATGGTTCATCTTTATGTTGTGACAGGCAAAGAAAGGCAAGCTTCGAGACGATTTCTCTTCTGACGCTCATTTAATTCATGCAGAACCCATCTATCCAGCTTCTTTACCTTGCCCATTTCTTTCAAATGGTCCAATACTGTTGGAATAGTGATGTCAAATCTTGCCAGTAATTCACGCATAGGTTGAGATGGATTTGCTTCCACTACAGCTTTCAGCTCATCATTTTGCGGTCTCAGGTCGTCCGCATAGCTCATTTTCAAGATTAAAATCACCAGAATGGAACTTGTCAAACTATCAACGTACTATGCATCCATTAGTCACACCCTTTCCAAACACTTCGTTGATATTTCAAGCTGTATGTGCAGCATTGGTTCCATGATGGAACTCATATTTGAAAATAACACAAATTTTTGACTTATCCATGGTTTCACAAAAATTGCTCTAAAAAATTTTTTGAAAGATAATCACAAGCCAAATCATGTTCTTGAAAGACTGAGGATGTACCTTCACAATAAAAATAAAACAAGAAGTGTCAAAGTGAAATGTCAGTGATATCAACTGTCAAACTATCAAAGTCAATGATATCAACATAGTCATATTGGATTATTTCTATCATAACTTTTCCTTCTTCTTCACTATTCCATCAAATGAACTGCCAAACTCTGTCAGTGATGCCTCCACTGTGTCCCCTTCATCTGCTCCTTTATATTCCCAAGGCATTACACTATTAATATTTTCACTTCTTTTCCACATAATATTAAGACTCCCCAGTTAGATTTCCACAAAATCTTCCATCTCCCCTAGTTATCCGCTTTTGTCAAACTTAACTTCCAAAATCACAAATCACATATTATACTCCTAAAAATATGATAGATCCCCATTGCCCGAGAAGAAAGTCTCAAGTCCCGGCATTCCTAATCTTCTTCATTTTGACCTATAGCATCCCTTTCTTTCTTTAACCACATCCTTCCAGGTAGCTAACGCTCTAGGCTAACTGGTCCAGTCAACCATTCCCCAATCACAGTGAACAATTTCTTACCTCTTGTCATTGCCCATACTAACGACTCTGAGTGGAATGGCCTTTCTACCTGTTTTCACTTATCTAAATTCTACTCATTCTTCATAGCCCAACATAAATGCTACCTTCTCTGCGATACTGTTCTACATTAAAAATTAACTGCTCCTCTTACAGACTCTCAAAACACTTTATCCTGTTACATAGCCTTTGTTTCATCCTGCCATATATTATAGATTGTTCTACATACATTAATCAGAGTCAACTTTCTAGTTATTTCTGTATTTTCCTCAGGAGCACAGTGTTTTATATATAGCAGGCATTTAATTAAGTATTTGTAAACACGCATTAATAATGGCTAACATTTTTTCAGCTCTATAAATTTTTATAGGACTATTTTGAATTCTTAGATAAATATGAACTTCTTGGAATACATGATCATTTTAAATTCAATAGATTTTTCAGAGGCTTGAGGTAGGGTAGCCCATTGTCTTTACTTGACCTATCTCCACCAAAATCAAAAACAAAATCAAACAAAAAAGATTTAACCCCATTACCTTTTCAACATCTGAGAGAGAAGTTAGTGATTGATTTTGAAGAACCTCTGGTGCAGTGAATGCTCGGAGATCCTGATTGGAAATATTTTCATCTGTAAATGACACACTACCAGAAGGCAGCAACAGCAGAGACCATGGAGAAATGATGAACCCAAGGGCAGCAGGATCAGCTATGCTTACTGGTTTGAAATTGCACCAAATAAAAAGAGAAAAAAAAAGATAATTGCTTAAAATTATAATCAGAGGAACTAAAGATCACTTCAACGGATATCTTAGCCTATTTGTATAGATGTTAATGTGTAGTTACATACACCAAATCAACATGCTACAAAAAGAGTGGGTTTCATATAAATACAACTGCTAGCATTATTAACAACATTTGATTAGGTTTAACCTTTCAAAATCTGGATGGTAGATCCTAGAAACTAGAAGTAGAGAACTTTCGTTGTTGGTCATAGAATTAAACTTGGTTCAAATGTTTCATCACAGTGATACATAGATATGGATAAGGATCAGTAGTTCTTAAACTTTTTCTGGATCATGGATTACTTGGAGAAATTGGTAAAAGCTATGCTCTCTCTTTCAAGGACATTATCCATATATCTGTATATATTCTGAAGTTTGAGGGATCCACCTATAGCCCATTTATGGACTCCAGGTTAAGCAAGATTCTGTGATTTAGATGATAGTGTTCTGAAATGATTAGAAATCAATTCCTTTCAAAAATTCATCAGATTTGGAATTTGTAAGGTTTCTAACTACAATAAAATTTTCTTTCTTGAGTCAAAATATATATTTTGCTTGAATTTGGATTTTGTCTTGTTTGCATTTGCTCATTATTTCACTAGAATGTCAGGCAACTTGTTCTGTACTACCAAATATGATCAATGGGGTCTCTTAATTTTTTTGTTTAATGTTTGGCTGTATAAGTGCCTCAGAGCTTGTGCTTAAGAGTATTAGCAAAAATAAATTCCTTAGACTTCAGCAGACCTATCCTCAAAAGTAAAGCTATACATTAGGCTCGACAAAACAGACTGATTAGAAGGAACTTTATTTTTCCTCCCATATCAAAATAAAGTAAGTATAGGTTTTAAGATAATTGCTAGGTGAACTGGGCTGCAGACTCAAAAAACTGCTATTGAAAAGTCATGAAAAGCCTGTTACTGCCAATGTCATTATTCAATCTAAAGAGGTTATCGTGATATCACTGCATGTCAAATGATAAGAAATTGACAGAAGTTCGTGGAACAGTTTATCAAACATACATACAGTATCTATGCTTTCCTGAAAACAACTTTCATCAGAACTGAATCATCTTTTTTGACTTTTTAACCCCTATCTATGGTCAAGATCATCAGAATTGGACTTACATCAAAAAAAAGTAGCTATTAAAATTCCTTCCTCCTCTAAAGATTAAAAAGCTCCTTGCATTTTTGTGAATCCGAGACATGTCTTTAATAGCTGTGTCAAAGAAGAAAAATGTATTTGAATGCCATCTTTTCATTAGTCAGCACATCTTATGTTGCTGTAGTGGAACTAGAAGGCTTAACAACCATACATCAGATGGCTGAAACATGGCTCACAATTCTTATGGCAAAATACGCTTCAATAAATCGTCACAACATACACCTGGTAATGCTAGATATATTGTTGCCTTTCATAGCCACTTTACACATTGCCTGTTAAAAGCCTCTTCTTAGGTATTTCATGAACAAGCAATACACAATCCAGCTAGGAAAGAACTCAAACAAGGCAGAACAATACTTTCCTTGGCAAAAGAAGCTATTCAAAATCTTGAGATTTCACATCACAGACATTATAAAGCAATCTAAAGTAAATTCCTGTCAAATTACCAAATAAGGGGAACAAACAGTAAGAGACCATTTAAAGCCAATGTGCTAATATCTAGTTTGAGATGATGGTCTGCAACCACAGTGGTAGCAGTAGAGATGGTGAGAAGCTGCTGAAAACTGAACTTATTTTAGAGACAGTGATAACAGAATTTCCTGACAAACTGGATGTGGAGTGAGAGAAAAAGAGGAGTCTGGATGATGCCAAGGTTTTGATCTGAGTAATTGGAAGGCTGGAGTGCCATCAACTGAGACAGAGAAGACTAAGATAGTCCACGTTGCTGAAGTGGGTGTTGGGAGGTGGTAGTGGGAATCAGAACTTTACTTTGAGACCTGTTAAATTTAAGATATTTGTTAGATATTCAAATGGGGATGTCAAGTGAGCCGCTGGATCTGGAGTGTGGAGAAGGGTTAGAACTGCAGATATATTTTGGGAGTCACTGGCCTAATAAACGGTATTTAAAGCCACTCTTCCTCCTCCTCCTTGGCCACAAACTGACCTTATCCCTTCCCCAATATGGTAGCACCAACCAGAAACTGTTGAAGGTGAGAGCAAGACATACTTGCTTATCACTCTGAAATTATTAAGAGATTTATTCACTTACCAACACAATCAAGGTCAGTAAAATTATTATGATTCTGGCAAGAACTATATATTTTTTTTATATAAGTGTTGCTGTTTTTGACAAATAATGATTGTACATATTTAGAGGGTACAGTGTTATGTTTTGATAATACATATATTGTGTAATGATGGAACTGCATATTTCAACTTTTGCTTTACATAATAGGTTTTTGTTTGTTTTTATTGACTATCTAAAGTACACCATTATTGTAAGCACTATACATATTAACATATTCTTCCCAATATTACAGGTCATTTGCTAATAGAATCCAAAGTATTACTGAGAATATAAAATATGTACCTAAATAAATACAAGATAGAAAACACAAGGTATCTAAGGGAGAAACAGATAATACAAAAGGGACTTCAGAGGACAGCAAAATTACTTCAACTACAATAGAGAATTAATTTCTTTTTTTATATGTGGCCCTTTAAGATAGATAAGACGACTTGATCATGGCTAAGGATAGGATTCCAAAGAGAAGAAACAGCCAGAGTAAAGGCATGTGGTCAGGAAATTACTAAATTTGTACAAGAAACAGCAAGAATTTTGGTCTCAGGAATGGTGGAGAACAGTGAGAAACAGAATTATGAAGGTGGATCACACTTTTGCTTGTTAAAAAAACACACACAGAGAAATGACAAAAATGTTTTCAAATGTAATTTTTTTTTGAGACAGAGTCTCGCTTTGTTGCCCGGGCTAGAGTGAGTGCCGTGGCGTCAGCCTAACTCACAGCAACCTCAAACTCCTGGGCTCAAGCGATCCTTCTGCCTCAGCCTCCCGAGTAGCTGGGACTACAGGCATGCGCCACCATGCCCGGCTAATTTTCTCTCTCTATATATATTTTTAGTTGTCCAGATCATTTCTTTCTATTTTTTAGTAGAGACGGGGTCTCGCTCTTGCTCAGGCTGGTCTTGAACTGCTGACCTTGAGCGATCCATCCGCCTCAGCCTCTCAGAGTGCTAGGATTACAGGCGTGAGCCACCGCACCCGGCCTCAAATGTAATTTTTTAAATGGCTTGTAATAAAGCTAAAGCAACTGTGACAACAAACTACATTGCTATAGTAATTTCTAACACACATACACATGACATTTAAGTACTAGATTCTTGAGAAACCATAGTCAAACCACAAAATATATTTTTAAATAATTGTAAAGGGTTACGCAAACCTACAAGTCAGGGAATTTAGAGTTGTGGCTGGAATCAGTCTTTAATTCACCCTTTTTGTCTAACGAGAAGGAATTTAAAGCAAATGTATTCAAATTCCTTCAAAGAATGCTTATAAAACAATATTTAAAAATGAGATTCCAGAAGTTTGTAATTCTATGTCTTATGTTTTAGTTGTGTGCTGATTGCACTTAGAAATGCTATTATTATGAAAAAGTAAATCTGATATGAACTGATTCCAATAGTCAAATGATTCTATTTATATTTACATTCCACAGAAAAAGTTGCTTAAACAGAATTTCAAGCCGCTAGAGGCAAAGTTAAAAATAAGCAAAGAAATATCTTAGAGCTTCTTTCCAATGTTCTCTTAAACTAAGGTCCATGGACCACTTATTGGTCATATATTTTTTTCCTGAGTGTTCTTGTCATTTCCTTTAGATTGTCTCCTTAATTTTTTTTTGTCCTCCACTTAGACCATAAAAAATTAGGGAAATAATCATAAATGGGTAACAAACATGCTAAGGAAACACTAATCAAAAGCATCAGGAAATCATCTTGAGACTTAGAACAACAATTAAACTGTTTTGACCTGAAAAATCCCTTTGCCTATTCAAGTACAGTGAAGAAATTATAGTCCTCCCATTTGCATTTTCTATTAGGATGTTTGGCAAAAATCTAAGCAGAAGCCACTGTTCTAAACTCTGATAGATTTGATGAAGTCACTCTATAGTACAGAATTCTCTCAAAAATTCAGTCTTATGTACATAAAAAATATCTAGATTGTTAAATCAATCATTTGGTATAACAATGCACAAATAGAAAATAAGTAATTTAGAATAGTAACCCTATATTTTAACATTTTTTGATAGTAAGTTTTGTGATAAATTATTTAAGGCTAACTGGAAATTATAGTATATGATTGAGTTTGATTCTAAATTAAAACTTCGTTAATTCCTCATGTTTTGTTACTACTTTTAAAAAACTTCTGTTTCTCTAATAGGAAACAGAGTAGCAATCCCTTTTGGAAAATAAAATTGTGTAAATGATTAAAATTGATATCTATAATAAGGTAAATTGATAATGACAGTCTCTTTAAAGACATTTTACATCATGTAAGTTTTCTTGGTATAGACGATCACTCAACATCATTTAATAAACTCCTACAAGCCTTTGGTTCTCAAGAATTTATATTCTGGTGTAGCAAGTCCCTGACCTTGCTAATTACCCAAATCCCTAAACTCACCTAGGAGATTTGGAAAGGTATCAGAGAAACTGTCAGCTTCATTTCATTCTTTTTAATATCTGACTTCAGTAATTTAGTATGTAGTCTCATTTAATTAAGAGAGACAGTATAGTACAGACTAAGCCAGAATCCCTACGATCAAATCGTAGGTTTGACATTATGCCTTACACTTGATCTTAAATAAGTTATTCAGCCTCTATGTGACTGAATTTCTTTACCTGTAAAAATAGTTCTTGTCTGATTTGGATACCTTTCATTTCTAATTTGGACAAGAAAAAGAAACAAAAGGCA